AAAGAAAAGTGCTTAGATTTCAACATTTTGCAATGACTATTTTCCAACATATAGCAAGGTTAAAGGAATTTCTGTGAATATCCGTATACCCATAGCTTAAAACTCTACCATGAACATGGTGTTATATGGTAATAATCATTAATATTAATACTTTAATATTTTTCTATTTTGTCTTCATTGACGATTTAAGATTGCCCCCAGCTATCGAGCACTAATATCTTGAGAGATTTTTGATTGCAGACACTTAAACGGGGAGGAGGTTCAGAACGGCTTCCTGTAAGTTTGCAAATGGCCACCAGGTGTCGCTCTGCATCCATAGCATCCTGCGACAAGCAGCGGCAGGAAAGTTTTCAGTAAAGGGAATTTCTAAATGAAATCAGGCTCGTTTTATTCATTTGGCTGAGGAAGGGTACAATACATTTACCCTTTGTTAAGATCTAACGTGATTAAACACATCTTGTTACAGAATCTAAACCTGTTTTCTTGGAGGATTTCAAGATATGATTAATGATTATATAGTTTCTTGTTCAAAAAGTCTATCCACTGCCAGTTTCTCTGACTTGGACATGGATTTTTTTTTTTAATTATTTATTTATTTTAAAGGTAGATGTGTGTATGTGTGTGTGTGTGTGTGTGTGAGAGAGAGAGAGAGAGAGAGAGAGAGTGTGTGGGAGAGAGATGGAGAGGACGCCCATCCACTGGTTCACTTCCCAAATGTAGCCAGGGCTGGGTGGGGCTGAACTGGGAACTCAATCTGCTTTTCCAATTACCTGAGCCATCACCTGCTGCCTCCCAGGGTGCACATTAGCTGGAAGCGGCTGTTAGGGGTGGAGCCAGGACTCAAACCCAAGCATTACAATGTGGGATGTGGGCATCTTAACTGCTTCACCAAATGCCTGTCTCTGGAATGTGACTTTCTTACTCCACAGCTTTCATTACACAGCAAATGTGTCTACATTAGCAGCTGTTTGAAATTGTCCTAGGAAATTTAAGAAAAATTTAAATGTAGTCCTGGTTGTGCAGATACTTTTTTTTTTTTTTTTTTTTTTTTTTTTTGGTGCATTGAAAACTTACCACAACTACAATTTTTCTTTACTGTCATTATTTTGATTAATGCCTACATCTCTTTAACCATAAATTCTGTAAGGTTTGAAACTGTGCCTAGCACAGCACCAGAAATTCAACAAATATTTGTTACAAAACGAAAAGAATGATTTGAAACTTTGACTGCAGGCTATTTTGTAACAACAAATCTATCCCTTAGGTATCTGTTTTCTTCCATGTTTTGTTTTCTTTTAATTGTAATAGAATCAAGGTTGAATAGCCTCCATAGTCTAGAAAGCAGCCACCAGATGAAACTTTTGTTTTAATTCTAAAGGAATATAGCTTTCTTTAGAGAAAAGTTGAGCCACACCACACTGAAAACCATTTTAACCAGAAACACTTTCTCTTTGTCTTTTCTCCTAAAGAGAAGGAGGAGGCTGTCTTCAATTGCCAATTTGTTTCCACCTATCAGAAAATAAAATCATGGTAGCACACATCCCATGGTGGAGCCAAGTAAATTAAACTGTCTACAGGAATAGCCACGAGGAAGGATTTTTCCAATTTCAAGTCTTTTTTTTTTTAAAGGGAAAATATTTGATAAGCTGTATATGTCACCTATTCATATTAATTTTCATAAAATGAAGCTATTTAAAGAGTGTAGTGGGAATTACAGTGTAAATTAAGAAGGTGTTTCACAAAGAATTTAGTGTCATGTGTCTGAAAATCTGATAGGAGCAAAGAGAGATTCATCATGGAAGATAGGAACCTATACCAGAGCCACTGTTTTCAGACACACTCATACTTTACAGAAAGAAGCAATTCCAGAGAGGTAAGGCCACGCACTTAGCGCACGAATCAAATTACTGACATATTTCTGTTTCGTCATTGTATCCCATTTTTATAAATAGTCTTCAGATGGTGCTTCCTGACACGGGAGAGCCATCCCAAGGCTGTGACTGTGAAGGTCTCCTCCATCCTTTATTTCCTGAGAGGGTCACCAACACCACACCTCCCAGGGGGTGCATTCTCAGGGAGCTAGAGTCCCGAGCCAGAGTCGGGAGTGTCCTCTCTCCTCTCTTTCTCCTATCACCCCATGACTGCTTACTTTGGAGAAAAGAAAGTTATCACTGGAAGAAGTTGCTGGTTATAATAGATATTCTGGGAACACAACACATTTCTTAAAAAATGCTCATACAGAGGTATAGACTTATTGCCATCGTGTTTCATAACTGCTCGGAATATTATGTAGATGAATGCTTTGACATTTATTTGCTTTTCCTTGAACGTCATGTTTCATTTTTATCTGATATCAGCTCCATTTATGGCAATCCAGTGGTAACTGCAAATTACGATCGCTGTGACAACCTGCGTATGGAGCATGTGAGCACAATTTTGATCCTGATTATTGGGCTTGCCTGAGTCATGGCTTGCATCATCTTCTGCAGTCCCGTTTATGATTCAGAAAATTTTATTTCCACGACATCCTTTTCAACCCCCACATGAGCCTCTGGGATTGCAGACAAATACATGATGACACTTTGTTTTAGTGGGAAGACTCAGATAATTTCTTATGGGCTGCTGTAAAAGTGTCCAGCAGCCTTTTTCTTTTAAAGCAAAGGATAAACTTTATTCTCCACTCAATGATCCCTCCCACCCAACCCTCATTTCATAGTGGGTTTAAAGTGCTTGGAAGTTCTAGAAAGTCTTCAGTATGGTTGCTGATTAGTAACTAATGAACTTAATAAAATAGTTTCATTGTCTTTTTGCAAGTTGGGGATGCGTGTGGTTTGTTATTGAGAGAAAGTAGCACATTCAGAGTGAGAATCTGAGCCAAAGTAGCCGCAGATAACTTAAATGTCATGGAGCAAACTCTCAGACCTATACAGCTTGTTGATTTAAAAATGTGCTTTGGTTGGTTTGGGGGTGGGCAACCCTGTGGTGTGGGAAGTTAAGCCTCCTCCTGCAGCACCAGCTTCCCATATGGGGGCCGGTTCGAGGCCCGGCTGCTTCACTTCCAATCCAGCTCCTTCCTAATGTGCCTGGGAAATCAGTAGAAAATGGCCCAAGTCCCTGGACCCCTGCACCCATGTGGGAGACCCGGAAGAAGCTCCTGGCTCCTGGCTTTGGATCGGCAGAGCTCTGGTCATTTGGTGAGTGAACCAGTGGATGGAAGACCTCTATCTCTATAACTCTGCCTCTCAAATAAATACATTAATCTTAAAAAAAAGAAGAAGAAGAAAAAGGAAAAAAAAAATGTGCTTTCTGGCTGCCAACTCCAGCTTCCTGCCAATGCAAACCCTGGGGGACAGTGGTGATGGCTCGGGGAATAAAGTTTCTACCAACATGTGGGAGACCTCGATGGAGTTCCTGGCTCCTGCCCGGCTCTGCCATTGTGGGCATTTGGGGAGTGAACCAGTACTTGGGAATTCTCCGTCTGTTTCTGTCTCTCAAGTAAATAAATTAATTTAAAAAAGTACTCCGGCCATCAGTGTGATCTATTGCTGTCAGTTCTCACCTCCTTTGTGTTGACAGTTTATGAAGTCTTATTTATAGCCACTGCATTTACAAGCTGTGGAGCATGAACTGCCACAGGCCGCAAGGTGCGAGGGCGGCTGGGCGGTTCACCTCTTCTCACAGGGCAGGGAGGTCAGGGGTGACAGCAGTGCCACATGCCTCGTCACTGAAGCTGTGCGTGGCACATGGGGACAGATCCTGAGGACACGAGGAGGCTCGAGTCTTGGTCCTAGAGAGTCTTCGGTATGATGGTGAAAACATAAAAACAAACAAGAATTGCTCTCCCAGTGCCAGGAACAGAGATTCGAAGGCAGCTCCCGGATGTGCCCAGGGCGCTCCGTCTTGCCGAGGAGTCCCAGATGAAGGCAGCTCTTCTGTCTGGGCGATGTTCACTGACCCTGTGTTCTCGGGACGGTGAACATGTAGGTGATCTCCCTTATTGTCTCTGAGGGCCAGGGAAGGGTAGCACCTGTTCAGGAAATGAAGCCACACATGATTTGACTACTGTAGTAGAGAAGCTTGCTACCTTCACGTGTAAAGACCATTTTTCTTAAATGACTGGCTGAAAGCTTCACTCTACATGAAAAGAAATATATTTCAATGTGTGGGCATGTTCAACTGTTTATCAAAATACATTATTGCAGGAGTTATGGATGCTTTATCAGAATTTGTACGTGAAGGTAATTTTTCAGGCCAAAGCCATTGCTAGGGATAGTTTATGGACAGCTAATAAGTAACCATTGTTATTAACCATTTTTATTTATGTTTTAAAGACCTATTTTTATTTATTTGAAGGGAAGAGGGAGAGAGACCGTATCCACCATCTGCTGCATCACTCCTCAAATGACAATGATATTCAGCCCTTGGCCAGGCTGAAGCCAGGAGCTAAGAGCTCAATCCCCGTCTCCCACGTGGGTGACAGGGACCCAAGCACTTGGGCCATCCTCTGCTGCTTTCCCAGGCCATTAGCAGGGAGCTGGGACCGGAGCCAGTGCTCCAGTACGGGATGCTGGTGTGGCACAGGGCTGGCCTGAATGAGTGAGTGTAATATGGGATACAGAATTGCCCGTTCCAGCCTGATCCAGAGATTAAAAGTCCCTAATTAACTCTCACAGCGGCTTCAGGGCAGGGTGGTGAGGGTCCAGAGAGGGTCCTGTCTCACCCTTTTGAAGGGGAGAAGTTTGGTAGATTACTGGAGGCATTTACAACACGGAGGTTATGAGGTTATTTATTTATTTTGTTCAATATGAAACGTTTTGGGGAATAGCGACTATGTATCACAGGTTTTTTTTTTGTTTGTTTGTTTGTTTGTTTTTTTTTTTTTTTTTTTTTTTTTTTTTTTAAGGCAGATGTAGAGGAGCAAGAGGCCTTCCATCCGCTGGTTCACTCCTCAAATGGCCACAATGGCCAGGGATGGGCCAGCCCGCGGCCAGAAGCCCAGGCACTTGGGTAGTGCTCCTCTGCTTTCCCGGGTCACAACCAGGGAGCTGGATCTGAGGCACCGCAGCCGGGACTGGACCCGGCGCCCATCTGGGATGCCGGTGCTGCAGGAGGAGGCCTAGCCCACCAGGCCGCAGCGCCGGCCCAGCTGCTGTGTTCTTGCTGCTTGACACGGGTCTGCATCTGTCCCTCAGCGGCTCTCAGCAGTCACGTGTTCCAGCAAGTCACGACGCTTGGCCACTACGACGCTGAAAACACGTCTTTTTTCCCTGACTTACGGCATGCCGTGCCTTCTGCGGCCAGCGCCGACACGCAGGGCTGTGACAGCAGGTCTCACGCGGCAGCTCACGTGGGACGCTGTGGCGCACTAAGGGGCGTGGCCTGTCCCGACATCCCGCGCGCGAGAAGGGAGGTGCGTGGCGGGCTCTGTGATGGAGGGGCTGGCTGGCAAAAGAATAGAAATAAGAGGAAATGAAATGTCATATTTAAGTTGCCTAAAAACAATCATTCACTACTTGGTATTTTCCCTTCTGTTTGTTTCACCATGTACAGTGTTTTTTTTTTTTTTTTAAATTTTTTAGGTTTCTTTATTTTTTAAAATTTATTTTTTAAAAATTGCTGTAACATTGTACATATAGTTTTTTTCTGGTTAAAATTATACCATAGCTATTTTTTTAAAAAAAGATTTTGTTTATTTGAGAGGTAGAGTTACAGACAGAAGGAGAGACAGAGAGAAAGGTCTTCTATCCGCTGGTTCACTCACCAAATGGCCAAAATGGCCAGAGCTGTGCCGATCTGCAGCCAGGAGCCAGGAGCTTCTTCCAGGTCTCCCACGCGGGTGCAGGGGCCCAAGCACTTGGGCCGTCTTTCAGTGCTTTCCCAGGCCATTAGCAGAGAGCTGGATCAGAAAAGGAGCAGCCGGGCCTCAAACCAGCCCCTATATGGGATGCTGGTGCCGTAGACCAAGGCTTAGCCCATGACACCACAGCGCTGGCCCCTCCCATAGCTATTTCGTAACATAATAAAGCCTGCATAAATCTTTTTTAAATTAAGGATTTATTTTATTTTCTTGTAGGGCAGAGTTACAGAGAGAGAGAGATCCTTCATCTGCTGGTCACTCCCTAAATGGCTGCAACTGGCAGGGACTGGGCCAGGCTGAAGCCAGGATCCAAGAGCTTCTTCCTTGCCTCCACTTGAGTGCAGGGGCCCAAGGACTTGAGCCATCTGCTGCTGCTTTTCCAGCACATTAGCAGGGAGCTGGATTGGAAGCGGAGCAGCCAGGACTAGAATCGGCGCCCATATGTGATACCAGCATTGCAGGTGGCGGCTTAACCTGTTGTGCCACAACACAGACCCCCTGCATAAATTTTATGCATATATTTATATTTAAATTTTTATTTTTAAAATTTATTTGTCAGAGAAAAACGAAGAGAGAGAGATTGTCCACAATAGCTGGGGCTAGATCAAGCAGAACACAAGCCAGGAACTCAACCCAGGCCTCCCATATGGGTGGCAGGCATCCAAGTTTTGGGCCATTGCCACTGCCTCCAAAGGGTGTGTGTTAGCGGGAAGCTGGAATCAAGAGTGGAGCCAGGGCAAACCTCGGGCTTGGATGTGATACTCCAAGTGCCAGGCCAAGTGTGTGCCCCTGCATGAATCTTTTAAGAAATGGCTTTGAAAGTGTTCTATTAGTGAATATGTGATAGACTTCTTAACTTCATGAATGTTGTTTGCTTAGCAGGGTTGGTTTTGTTGGGTGGACCAAGGAGAGGACAGAACAGAAATCTGGATTCAAAACTGGTGAGTTAATGAAGAAAATTCTCCCAATTATCAGAATTTAGAAGCAACTGAAACATGAAGGTCTGAGTCAAGGTTAGCAAAAACTATAATGCCACCTCCTGCCGCAAGGCAGATATTAGTAGATTATGACATTCTTTTCCTTGAGCCTGGGTATTTGCCATCACAGACCAGGAACTTAAGATAGTCAATTTAGGGGTCCGAAATTAGAAGTTGCAACAGTCAGATTGAATTGTTAAAGGAATTTTATTGTTTTTTTTTAATTTATTTTTTTATTGAACTTTTAAAAATAGATCTGAAACTCAGTAGCAGAGAGCACCACACAGAATCAGTAATCAGAATGGAAGAATGTGAACTGTGGCAAAGGTGATTTGCCTACTGACCCTTTTATCTGATAAGTGTGTTTTTTCTAAGTGTATTCAAGAAGTCTCTGAATTATGGTACATGAAAAGAAAGGGGTAAAATTATGTTAGGATGGTGATTTTAATAGTAATTTTTTTCTTATGCTTCTAAATTTGCTGCAGTATGGTTATATTTATCATTATAATTAAAAGACTTTTAAAAGTATTCAAGCAGTGGAAATAATCAAATTATTACAAGGAATTCTAAGCCAGTGCTTTCATAGTACGTGGTATTTTAGATGTTTGTATCCAAATCAGCACTGGATTTGAGGCCACTTATAGAGGTTACTTTTTCTATCTGGTTTCCCACATATTTTCTTGTAAAACTGAGGTAGAATAGGATCCACCTTTTAGACTATTAAAGGAATATGATAATGCATTTGAAAGTGCTTGGTAATATGCTCTGTAAATATGACCTATTATGGAAATCTTAGGTTCATAAAACAATAGCAAGTTCTTTTAAGTTCTGTAAGTATTAAATGTTAAAAGAAATATGATAATCAGGGAAGATGGCCTTCTACTAAATGTTGCATCTTCCTTAAAAAAGTATCTGGAAGCCTAAGATATAAAAAATGTAAAATATTTGAAATAACACAATAAATGGGACAAGTAATAAAAAGGATCCAGCTGAAAATTAATGAATAATTTATAAGACAAATTATATTTCAGTACAAAGAATATTTCTAGGGATAAACAATAACATCCCACAGTGATAAGGGACTTTATTCACCCAGAAGGAATAATTCAAAATGTGTATGCACCTAATAACAGAAGTAAAAAAAAAGGGTCAAACAAAGATCAAACTGAAGAGGGGAAATAGGCAAATAGACAAATTTACTGTTATAGTTGGAAGTTTCAGTTCTTTTCCCACAGTAATAGAAAAATCAGAAATGCAAGAATAAAGAAAACTTGAAAATTATTAACTGACTTAACCTAATTGACATTTATAGCCAACTTGACCCAACAACTTTAGAATATATTGTTCAAGGACACAAGAACATTCTCTAGGATAAACCATAAAACAAATCCCAGTAAATTTAGAAAAATTAAAATCACAGTCATACAAAATATGCTTTCTGGCTAAGATGAATTAGAATTAGAAGTTAAAAAAATATAAAAGATATATTTGTAAAAAAAAAGATATATAGCTATCTCCCAATATTGAGAAATAACACACTTTCAAATAACCTACAGATAAAAGAAAAAAAAATCACAAAGGAAATTTACAAGCATTTTGAACTGAGTGGAAATGAAAATATAATATCAAATTTTCAGAAAGCTAAAGCAGTGCACACAGGGAAATTTATGGCATCAGTTGCTTCTTTTTTTTTTCTTTTCTTTTTTTTTTTTTTTGACAGGCAGAGTGGACAGTGAGAGAGACAGAGAGAAAGGTCTTCCTTTGCCGTTGGTTCATCCTCCAATGGCTGCCGCAGCCGGTGCACTGCAGCCGGCGCACCGCGCTGATCCGATGGCAGGAGCCAGGTGCTTTTCCTGGTCTCCCATGGGGTGCAGGGCCCAAAGACTTGGGCCATCCTCCACTGCACTCCCTGGCCGCAGCAGAGAGCTGGCCTGGAAAAGGGGCAACCAGGACAGAATCTGGTGCCCTGACCGGGACTAGAACCTGGTGTGCCGGCGCCACAAGGTGGAGGATTAGCCTATTGAGCCACAGCGCTGGCCCATCAATTGCTTCTAATAAAAAGAGAAGGAAGTCATTTAAGTTTCTATTTTAGGAAACCAGGAAAAAATGAGCAAATTACCCCCAAAGAAAGTAGAAGAAAGGATATTAAAAGGACTGGAAATCAGTGAAGATCAGTGCAATTCATAAATATTTAGCTAGGCTGATGAAGAGAAGTCAGAAATGACCAATCATAGAAATGAAAATGGAAGATTCATTACAAATCCTACTAAAATTAAAGGGTGTATAAGATTATATTCTGAACAACTTTACTCCAGGAAATCTAAATCCCATTGCCTAAATGAAAGTGGATTTGAAATGCACAAATTCCTTGGTAGACACATATTACCAAAAGTCTCTCAGGAAATAATAAAAAATGGGGATAACTTTCTTTCTATTCAAATTGAACTCATAATTCAAAACATTTCCTTTCAGCCCAAATGTAGAAACAATAGCAATACTACACAAAAATCTTAGAAAATGCAAGAGAAGGCTACTCTTCCCAACTCATTTTATGAGCCCAGAATTACCTTAGTGCCAAAATCATCAAAAACCATTACGAGAAAAGAAACAATAGATCAAACCCCTTCATGAGTTCAATAGTCTTTAACAAGGTATTAGTGAATCAAATTCAGAAATATATTAAAAGGGTAATACATCATTACTAACTGGAGATTATCACAAGGACTCAAGGTAGATATGACATTCACAAATCTATCAATAAAATCACCATTTAAGCAATCTGAAAGGGAAAACCGTATGATCATCTTAGCAAATGGAAGAAAAGTCACAAACCTTGGACATATTCAATATCTGTTCATTACATCTAGCAACTCTCAGAATTTCTTCAATCAGATCTTATAGTAAAGAAATGAATACTTTGCCCCTAAGTTGGGAGCAAGAAGGGGTGTCTACTCTCTTTACTTCTCTTTTACATTACCCTGGAGGTTCTATACTGCAATAAGACAAGAAAAAGAAATACATGGTATAAATATTGGAAAAGCAGAAGTAAAACAGTTGTAATTGGAGACAGCATGATTGTATAGAAAATATGATAGAATCTGTAACAAAAGCTACTTGAATTAACTAGTGAGTTTATTATAGTTTCAGGACCCAAAGTCAACATGTAAAAATCAATGTATTTCTGTATAGGGGATTAAAAGTAAACAAATAATACTACCTATAATAGCCTCCAAAAATGTATAATACTTAGAACAAGTTTAACAGAATTTATGTAGAACTAGTACTTTGTGGTGGAATGAGAAGGCCATGTCAAGATGGCCACTGGCAAGCGAACGTCAGTTACTCAGGAATGGCTTCAAAACCTACCTGGCAACAGAACCTGCCTGGCAACAGGCAGTGATTGGTTAGGGCATAAACCACCCCTTGACTGGATTGGCTGCCTTGGCTATATAAGCTGCTGTACCTACGAGTCTGCGGGTTGCTCGCCTCTGGCCTGCTTTCACCTGGCTCCTGGGATCTGTGTGGTGACTCCGCACCTCTTGCCCCCACCATGCTCCTCCTCTCAGAACAAATCCACCTCAACATCTGGTGCCAACATGACTGAGAGAGAGAGACAGCGTGTTGGACCTGGCGAGGTACCCCCTTGATTTCGGCAAGTAGGCCCCTCAGTGTTTTGTGTGCTGTTCAGTTGTGTGAGGGTGAACACAGAACCCCCTCCTACGCCCCTTTCCTTGTCCTTGTCCTCGGTCTAAATGACCCCAGGTTAGCACACACCACCCAGAAGCGTATGCTGCTTCTCGGCTCCTCCTTTTACTTCCAGTTCGCCCGACGAATTCACGTAAGGGACTGATCATCCCAGAATTGGGAACCAAGTCATCTTCCCTCACGGAGAGAGGTGACGCTCTGGAGACACTGTGTGGGCATACGGCCTTGACCTAACGAATCAAGGAAGTCCCCCACTAAGCACAGGACATACGAACAATCTGATATGCCACTATCTGTTCATCTAACGTAGGAAACCCCCTGCAGAATGCCATCAGCCACTGAGGTGCTAGGAATTTGCATTGTTATGGCAGCAGTGCTGTGCATGTCTTTCCTTTGGCTAGAGTTGGCGTGGCGTGCTGATCTTAAGCATTTAGACATGAGAGAGATAACCCCCCCCCCCAGAAACCCACCCAGATTACCAAACATAATGAATCTGTGAGTGACAAGAGCCTGTCACTCCAGGCCACTGCCTCACAGGCAACAGTTGATGACTGAGGGAGAGAGAGCTCCGACAGTGAAAATGACATGACAGCAGACAACGCAGCAATGCCTAGTCAGTCACCCCCCAAATACCCGCGGGATGAACTTAGATGATCTCGAGGCAATAACACATGCGAGGTCATCCCATCCGCACCCAGTGAGGATCCCCATGTTTGTGGCAGTCCCTGGGAACCCCAGGCTCTCAGGGCACCCTTAGACATCATCCCAACTGCATGTTTGCTGTTAATGTCAAAATGGACACAAAATTTAGGCCCTGGATTCCAACGCACATAAAAAGGCTTCTGCTAACCAAGGGCCGAGGTTATGTTTGTGTCTTTCCAGAGAATGTGGGACAGCCCATTTGGGTACCAGCCAGAAATATCAGGCAGCTGACAGTCAACCAGAACCAGCTGAACAAGACAGAGTTCGCCTTGTTAGTGGATGCACCTGCTACCGATTTTCAAGCTGCTGCCCTATCATCCTGCCCTGAGAACTGCCCATAGCCACATCCGCTACTGCTTTATACCCTACTTAACTCTGGTCAGCCACTCAAACGGCCCACAGCCTGCATGCAGTTACGGCATTCCTGGTTACCATCGTTCCTCATTCCTACTCCTATCTGAACAAGCACTTCTGTGCTCTCCCACGACGGGTAAGATCCCCTGGGGGACAACCTAAGACAGGCACAGCTGCATGAGGAGACCACATGGAAATGGGGC